GAGAGTGTGGATAGAGGTACTTTGCACTGGGAGGCCGGTCTTAACTTTCGTTTATCGGAATGAGTTGGAGCTCGGAGACGACTGCCTTTCGGGTCGTGCAGTCGTGAGAAGTCGTGGCGTGTGAAGGCAGTGTGAGAATGAGAGTGGTAGTGAGGCGAGGATTAGGGGAAGGTAGTAGTGTAAGAGATTATAAGGGGTTGGAAGGAAGTGAGACGCATTTCTTCAGTGAATTTAGAAAATACAAGTAAAAATCAAGATAAGGAAAAGAAATTTGCAGGAAATTATGAGAGTTACTCTTTCGATAACATGAAAAAGAAATAAATATTTGCCTATTCAGCCAAAAATAAAGCCATCTAAACAAACGGCACCAGATCTTGGCAACAGGGCTAAGATATAAATTTAGATAAAGAGAGAATGTGTAACAGCTGGACAAAACACAGACACGTACAACATAATAAAAACGTTTCTGAGTCGGGGAAATTACAATGCCACTGAAAATCACACAAGGGGCTGATGATGAGTTCTGCGCGGACTCAAACGTTTTTCCAAGACGTTGAGTTTTTGGAGCCAGCTGTCTCCCGCTACCAACGCTCAATCACGGGACTGCAAATAGCTCAAAATCAACGGTGAAATCAGCATCAAAAACCCACAGCGAAATAGAAACAATGAAACCCACAGCTTACATGGCTTCCTGTTGGTCCCTTCAATCTCCCCCAATCGCAGTATAAAAGAAAGAAAGAGAGAATAAAAAAGTACAAACCCCAGCAGGGATATTATGCCTTTCCACCGACCATAAACTCCACTTCTAACGCCCAAACGAGTCGAAGAAAAAAGGCGGCAAGTCGAGCGAGCCGCACCTGCCCCGAGTGAAATTGCAAGTGTCACTCAGGTTGTTGGCGGTAGCGGCTGCCCGCGGCGCCCGTACTTGCGGTCGGTCCCGCTCACGTTGGTATCCTCTCTAATAAGGTGGTCGCTACTGTGAGGCCGGAGGGAGGTTGTGGAGGCTTTTAAAGAGCGGGTTGCCATTATGGGGAAGGTGTGCCCACTGGCTGAATCACTAACGCAACAGGTACACAAAAATCAGGCAGGTTCGCAACCGTAACGTGGCGGGCAGAGAGGGCGCGGAACGAAAGAAACATCACTGGCGATCGACGTCGGCTCAGGCAGAGGGGGGGAGCGGGAACCTATGGCCTGACGCTGGAAATGTCAGAGCGAGCCTGAGGCTGTTAATGCTGGGAAATTGAACTGATTGAAAATGACGTGTTTATCTATTCACAGAACAGCTTCAGTATTCTGTGAATTAATTGTAAATCTCGCATGTGAGGTAGTGTAAAGGCACGACAGGTGTATATGATATGCCATGTTGCACTAATAACATGCAAAAACCGTAAAATTTGCAATCTCTGGCAAAAAATTAAGAATACAGTAACTAGCAAAGCAGTTATTGTGGTCCGTTATCTTTATAATTAAATTACTTATAAAAAAAATCAGAAAAAGGGGGAGTCATGCCTTGCACCCGCAGGCAGGTGCCAGAGATGACGCAACAGCTGATCGCTAATGTTTACACTTTCTGACAGGGCTACACTCGCCCCACGCCAATCTTGTTTCTCGCGGCTGTCACTGGACGTTATATACTGCATACACACTTTTGCCATTGGCATTTATTCGCACACGTACTCATATGCGAGGAAAAAATCATGCTACATTTTAGCTGAACCGGCGACCTACAGGACTGGTAGTATGAAAATAACTTTCAAATCGAGACGCATCGCGCGATCCATTTTGCCCCGCCAGAATAGTGCCATAAAGGAGAACAGGTGTTTCGCCGAGACTTTCCTCCCTCATTTGCAAGCTCTCGTTTGTCATGAAACTTTTCGCAATAACGGCCATAACGCCTCACCTCCCACCTGCAGACCCCTCGCCATGGACACTAATCGGTGATTTACGTATTTCTCTCGGCCTTTCTCCTACGTAACGTCATTATTACAGCTTTCTCCTCTCCTCGCTGGTCCTCCCCGTGCCAGGTGTGTGCGTGTGTGTGCAACTATGGCCCGCGGCGGAGAGTGGTTGGCCGAGGCACACCTCAGCGTTCGGGGCGAGCAACACCCACGTCCCGTTCGTGGCCAACACCCTCCTCCTCCTACTCCCCTTCCCTCACTCTCCCCTTCCCCTTCCCCTTACACGACGCATAAGTACTGGGTTATTACCTATGGAAATGACGGCTTTGAACGCCTTCGAGGTGTTGACTGTTTAATGACACCCTCGTTAAAAAAAGAAAAAAATATGGGTCAAACCAAGAAGAGACTTCGCCGCGTTGCAGCAACAATGGAAGACAAGGAGGTTCCCCGCGAACACCTAAATCCACAGCTCGCAGTACTGGGAAACGAAAGTGGGTGTTGATAGTCACGACGACGTAAGTGGAGCAAAACCAGAAAGGAAGGTGTTAATTCATACAACGTAGAGTCACGGTTGAGATCCCTACCAAACGTGTCTTGACATTCAAACAGTACACCCCGTAAACAAGGTGTTCTGAGGCTTCGGCCATGCAGGAGGTGCAGCCGAGACACACTTCTGTTTTGGTAGAATGTGGGAATTGGGAGTATGCGGGAGGAGGCTCTCGGATTGTCCCCCATCACACGCGATCAACTTCACCATTACCATAACTTTGGCGTCGTCTCCGCCCCTCCGTCGCCCCTCTCCCCCCTCGCCCCCTCTCCTTTCCTCGAGTTTCCAGACGCTACGCTGCATTGTAACGTAACCCTTCTGCACGCTTCAGTATTGCAAGAGAATGGGAGGGAGGTCGCAAGTCATCTTCCCGGCATTTGTCTACGTCGGGAACACCACAGGAACCACGGTACAAGTTCCTGATACTAGATGGGAACACTAACACCACGGTATTCAAAACAAGAAAATTGAGATCACTACAATTAACAAAACTATTTCAAAATAAACAAATAAAACTGGCAAAACTAGGACGAAACTCTCCAACAAAATCTATAATTCATCTCTTGACAACGCCCCCCTCCTCTCGCGGCCACATCTGCTCCTCTCCCTTGCTCAGGATGAAAAAGAGATGTCCCTAATTGTCACCAAGCGTGCCAGCCTTTCAGGTCCATTAAACAGACCGTCTCGGGAGTCCTACTCGCACAAAAGGGCCTTGCACGCCACGCCTGCAGCAACGACCGCCCAGATGTGTGAATAGCGCTCCCCCCCAGCCCCCCCGCCCACAACACACATACGCTCGCCTTTGCTTTCATGCACTTACTACTCCTCGGGCCACCACCCCAACGCCTCACACCCGCCTATGACTCCTGCCCCCCTACGCCCACCCCATCTCTAACCTACTCATCCCATCCTATGCCCCATCCCTTCCTCCTCCTCCGCCCACGCTCAGCAACACCGAAAGAGAATAGGGGTTCAGGTACAAACACCACGAAAATGGTGAGAGCGAGGGAGTAAAAGGAGAGACAGAGAGAGGAGAAGAGAATGATGGACCGTACCGTAGAAGGGATGGACGGAATGTACGAATCCGAGGGCGAAAGAGAGTGCAGTGGGTACAGGAATTAAGGGAGAAAGAGGAAAAGAGAAACACATGAAAAGCCGACTTAAAGGTGGAAATGAAAAAGAATGAAAGAACACAACGATCAAAGGACACCATGAATGATGAAGGCCGAGTGCATGGCGCCCGAGAAAGGAAAGCAAATTGACTGAGAATGCACGGGCAGGTAAGGGAAGAATGAGAGAGGGAGGAAGGGAAGAATGAGAGAGGGAGGGGAGGAAGGGAAGAATGGAGAAGAGGGAGAAAAGGGAGAGTAAGAAGGAAAGAAAGGGAGAGTTAGAGGGAGAGAGTGTGAATGGGAGAGGGAGAGAGAGGGAGAGGAAGAGGAAGAAGAAAAGGGAGAGGGAGAGGAAAAGGGAGTGAGAAAGGAAGAAAACGAGGGCGAATGTGGGAGAACAAAGACAGAAAAAAGCAGAAGAGAAAGAAACGTGGGAAAGGGGAGAGGCGGGTTGAGGCGACGAGAGGAGGCACACTAGACGCGCCCAAGAAGGGAAAGACGCAAACACTGATTTATGGAAAAAGGCCAAGGCGTAAGACCGGGGGGAGTGGGGGGGAAGGGGGGGGGATTTGGGCGCCACCGTCTCCCAGACTTGTAAATGATCAACGAAAATGTCTAAGCCTTGGGAAGGGTAAGGGGGACTTATGTGGATGAGGGGGCGGTGGACATGGGGTGGAGGTGGGTGAGGGGGGCGGTGGACATGGGGTGGAAGTGGGTGTGGGGTAGCGGTGGGGCCTGGAGAGTGGGCAAGGGTACAGGTACGGATTGGAGAGAAGCGTGGGGGAATGGAAGGGGGCAGAGTGGGAGCGGTTTGGAGGGGGTGTAGATAAGGTAAACCCCAATCGACGACTCCCGAAGCCATCAAAAGTCTTATCTCCCATCCAATAAAAAAAACGAAGATCAGCGACCCGGCGAGCAATACCACGAGACCTCAGAAGGCACCGCACAACCTCCTCAATAAAGGCACGTCGCGCGCTATCGGCCGGGCCTATTTAATTCGAACAAGCAATCAACGAGAGGGAAATTAATTACTCCAACAAGGCTCTCAACTTGGACCTCGTCATCCCACTCGAACTTTCCTTTAATCAATAATCAAGCTCCGCCGTGTCTTTCCTCTCGCTAGAATCAGTTGATGTTATTTAGATTTTGATATTAATGATGACAAGATCGAGTTTCATTTTGTCTAATAAGATATCTTAAAAATAGGAAGAAATTGTATATGCGTAGGAAAGAAACAAAACCCTCGAGTACATAATAAGGATAATGAGCTAATTTTCTCTGCAGACAATTACAAGACGACACTTTCCTCATAAAATTGTGAATAATAATATTAATAACAATAACGTTATGAAGTTGGCCCGTGCATGAAAATCTCTCTTACTCATCCCTCTACCCCCCTCCCCCCACCTCCCCCTTGCCCCAGCAACAAGAACTCGGCCTTACCTTCTGCCTGGGGTCGGGCGCGCCGTCGTAGGGGCCATTGTGGGCTTCCTCGTGCAGGGCTCCAGACGGGCACTGGGAGGCGTAGGGCGACGAGGCGGGGGAGTGGCCGCCCGCGTCGTACGGGGCAGGGCTGCTGCGGCCGGAGCTTCGGCTCTGCTCTCCGCGCCGCCACGGGAAGATCACGCTGGAAAGAGAGAGGAGACGGGTTAGGAGGAAGCTCAATGAACGTGGGGTTGATGAAGAATGAATAACTTATTCTCGGACATACGATGATCAGCGAATAAACCTTGGATAATGAAAATTGCCTGAAAGAGAAAGTAGACTGAGTGATAAAAAAAATATCCGTCACAGAACTTTCCGTGAGTGAATAACACCTTAAAAAATGCAGTCGCGAGTTCACCAGAATACTTTCTGCAGAACTCCCGAGCAATAAACTGACTCCAGGACCTATGTTTAGCTGACCTTGAAAGGACTCACTGATCTGGAAACACGTGCGAGGAAGAGGAAGGGGAGGAGGAGGAAGGGGAGGAGGAGGACGAGAAGGAGGAGGAGGAGGAGGAGGAGGAGGATGAGAGGAGGAGGGGGAGGAGGAGGAAGGGGAGGGGGAGGAAGGAGAGGGGTAGAAGGTTAGGGAGGAGGAGGGGGAGCTGTAGAAGAAGAAGAAAAAGAAGAAGATAAGGAGGAGGGGGCAAGGTATGAAGACGTCGCCTAGGTTTCGCGTGCAAGACACTGCCAAAAAGCAGAATAACATGGACATTCCTCTCCCATTTCCTTTGCTCCCCATCGCCCTATGCTGCTCCTCTCCCCACCGCTTGTTCTCCCTCCCCCAACCATTGTTCTCTTCCTCCCCTACCACTTGTAACCCCATCGCTCCCACCGGGAAGTTGAAATTACAGTGATAAACCGCACCAGACGTTAGATTACAGCTACATGGACTCAACGCCGGCCAGACACCGGGTTCTGCACAGAATCAGCGCCAGGGAGAGAGGAGGGAGAGAGGAGGGAGAGAGGAGGGAGAGAGGAGGGAGAGAGGAGGGAGAGAGGAGGGAGAGGAGAGAGGAGAGGGAGAAGGAGGGATGAAAGGAAGAGGGAGAGGGAGAGAGGAGAGGGGGGGAATGAAAGGAAGAGGGAGAGGGAGAGAGGAGAGGGGGGGAATGAAAGGGAGAGGGAGGGATGAGAGGGAGAAGTAGAGAGGAGGGAGAGAGGGAGAGAGGGAGAGAGGGAGAGAGGGGGAGAGGGGGGAGAGGGGGAGGGGGAGGGAGGGAGAGAGAGAGAGAGAGAGAGAGAGAGAGAGAGAGAGAGAGAGAGAGAGAGAGAGAGAGAGAGAGAGAGAGAGAGAGAGAGAGAGAGGAGAAGGAGAAGAAGGAGAAGGAGAAGGAGAAGGAGAGGGAGAGAGGAGAGGGAGAGGGAGAGAGGAGAGGGGTATAGAGGGAGGTAAAGCAGGAGAAAGGAAAGAATAGAAGGAGAGGGAGAGGAGGAGAGACAGGAGAAGGGAGAATGAGAGGGAGGGCGAAGAAGGAAGAGGAAGGGAGGAGGAGGACTTAGATAGAGGAACAATACAGGCAACAGAGAAGGGCAAGATAGGGAGGGATAGGAAGAGACAGAGAGGATAAGGGAAGAGGAAGAGAAGAAATAGGGAGAAGAAAAGGACGAGAGAGGGAAAGAAGAGAAAGAAAGAAATGATAAGAATTAGAAGAAAGGAGAAAAGGGGAGAGAGGCGGAGGGGAAGAAAGGCAGGGGACATTTGCGGGTCAAAGTTCAAGGGGGAGAGAACAGAAGAAAGGAACGAGGAGAGAGGGCCTCGAGGATGTGGAATTAAAGGGTTAAATAGAAGAAGAAAAGGGAGGTTGTAAAAAGCAAACAGACAGGAGGAGGGATGCAGGGAATTGTGTAGAGAGAGAGATGCAAAGGAGAGAAAAATAAAGAGAAATTTATGTTGAAGAGAAATAGAATAATGAACTAATAATGAGCAGAAAGAGAAGCAAATAAAGAGGGGGAAAAAGAGCGAAAGAAAATATAAAGTTGCAATGATACTTGCGAAATAACCTACATCATCCTTGCAACAACACGCATTGAAAACCAACATGGGCGACAACACATCCACTCAAGCCTGTAGTACAGTCCTTTATTACAATGTTTCATCACAGAATAAAAGTCAGAAACAATTAATGGCATCCGTTTTTTTAAAGCTATAAACGACCTTGCAAATCCTTGAAAGAGGACGAGGGAAAAAAATATCACAGTGAAGCAGAAAATTCATTTCTTGTCTTCCTAAGTTTTTTTTTTTTTTTATCTTTCCTTCTTTCGTATACAATAAGCACCTTTTACAAGAATACGAATGAAAAATAAGTCTGGTATTGGAAAGTAAATTAAGTGAATAATACAGGACATGTATACTCTCATGATAAAAAAAAATATTAATAAAAGTTAAGGCAATGAAGGAACGAAGTAACTTTTTCCCCGCTTGTGGCAGAATGACATGCCACTCTATCCATGTTTTTCTTTTTTTTTCTTTTACCAAGGTGAACTTCCCCACCCATAGCAGGGGAAAATAATATGAATAGAAAATAGAAAAAAAACATCACAAAAAAATGTCGCATGATGACACGGAAAACAGGTCGCCTTGATTGGTTTGGATTAAACAGGTGAGTCGAATTAATTGGATGGAGAGAAACTCTATTATCATCATGAGACAGGTGCGCTAATATATACCACGGTCTTAGAAATAAAGGGTCCTGGTCACATATCTTGGGAATTTCATTTTTTTTTTTTTTTTTTACCTTTTAAGATATCAATGGACAAAGGCAAAACGTCAAGCCTTTCTGCTGAATTAAAATTAAATTATCAATCTGACTGCGAGGGCTTATACACACAAGATTCTCCGAGATGTGTAATCATACTACTGGTTATTTTATCAAACAGAAACAAATAAAACACTTTGGGAGTTTATATATCTCGCATCCCAGTTGACTTTACGCGCGTACAGTGCCTCCTACCTTAACAATAATACGCATAAATAAAAAACTTTCAGCAGAATTTCAACATAAAGCACGAAGAAGAGAGAAAAAAGCGCTTAACCACGTATATTCAAGGCATAACAATTTTCGACTTAAATAACGTGAACGACATCATGAATTCACAACAGCGAGCATCAAAAGCTTTGCAAAGATAATTCCCTTGACTATCGCGGGGCCGTTTTTAGAAGTTTTGGGATCCCGGCGCACCTGCAAAGCTCCACCATCTCTATCCCCTGGCTTAACAAGGGTTATTTTCCCTCGGTACCCTTGATTACAGGCGAGGGACAGAAGAAACCTTTGGAACCAACAGAATGACGTAATCAAGCCTGGGCATAAGGGACAAGATCCTTTTGTGATGATTTTCTTACTCTTCTTTCCCGCAGTAATTAGCCGAGGTCCCAGACGCCGCGGCATCAACAATATGTCACTCACTTCGCGGTGGTAATCAATATTCAGCACAATACTATTTTGACTCTTCGTATAAGAACTCTAAATTGGGCCATTTATATACCTCATTAGCCTTAGCCAGAGGCAGATTCCATACAAACATTAAATATAATGGTTATAATTAGGCTCGGTACCCCCTTACCAGTACCAGCCTTCTACATACCTAAACCTATTCTGTCGTTAATGGATGTTAATGACTTGAGGTTTACGTATCTCCCACGAAAGATACAGGTTGTAGAAATAAAAAAATCAAAAGACCCATAAAATCAAATTGCAGGATGAAATTAACGACTCAATAATCATCTCTATCATAAAAAAGAATTCACTGTTTTTTTTATTGCGCTTCCGCCGCGTGCGAGATCGAGAGGGCATCGTCGAAGCCGCGGCCCAAATCCTTTCTATAAGACGGGATTCTAGTCCTTACGGATCCCGGTCATTAGGCACAATCGTCTAATTTCGGCCGAGGGAGTATGACGTCCTTAGAACGTTTCCTCGCCGGCGTTCAGGTCAGATCAATTAACCCGGACTCATTTAGCGATCCCGTGGGAACGGACGAGGAGCGCCCTTTGTTTTGTTCGAGACGTTATTCATGATTCTAAGAGAAGTTCAGAAGTAAAGAAGAGAAAGAAGGAAAGAAGGAAGGAAAGAATGTGAGAAGGAAAGGTGAGGAGAGATGGGGAGGAAATGAGAAGGAGCGAGAGAAAGGGAGAAAGGGACAGAAAGCGGGAAAGAGGGAAGGGGAAAGAGAGAGGGGGAGAGGGAGGGAGGGAGGGAGGGAGGGAGGGAGGGAGAGAGGGAGGGGGGAGGGAGGGAGGGGGAAAGAGGGAAGGGGAAAGAGAGAGGGGGAGAGGGAGGGAGGGAGGGAGAGAGGGAGGGAGGGGGAGGGAGAGAGGGAGGGAGGAGGGAGGGAGGGGGAGGGAGAGAGGGAGGAGGGAGGGAGGGAGGGAGAGGAGAGAGGAGGGAGGGAGGGAGAGGAGAGGGAGAGGAGAGGAGAGAGAGAGAGAGAGAGAGAGAGAGAGAGAGAGAGAGAGAGAGAGAGAGAGAGAGAGAGAGAGAGAGAGAGAGAGAGAGAGAGAAGGAAAAACGAGAAAACGGAAAGACAAAAGCGAACGACAAGGAAACATAGAAAGATAAAAAAGAAAGACAAAAGAGAACGAAAAGGAAGACATAGAAAGATAAAAAGAAAGACAAAAGAGAACGAAAAGGAAAACACTGAACGATAAAAAGAAAGACAAAAGAGAACGAAAAGGAGAAATGGAGAGATAAAAAGAAAAAAAATGTCCCAAAGAAAGAGAAAGGAGAAAAAGAAGAACGCGAAAGTGAGGCGACGTATGGATCGGAAGAGAATTCAAGCGTCGCAGCGAAAACTCTCTCTCTCTCTCTCTCTCTCTCTCTCTCTCTCTCTCTCTCTCTCTCTCTCTCTCTCTCAATTACCTCATCCTTCTGAGATGTAAGTTTTTGTCTTGATAAACTTGTCAAAGTAAAAAAAAAATCTCTCTCTCTCTTCCCCCCACCCCTTCTCTCTCTCTCTCTCTCTCTCTCTCTCTCTCTCTCTCTCTCTCTCTCTCTCTCTCTCTCTTTCTCTCTCTCTCTCCCCCCCTCTCTCTCTTTATCCTAAGGCGCGCCGAGGACTTGCGTTTAGGATTGAAAGGTCAAGTCACGGCGGGATCGATCGGCCTCGTTTTCAGCTGAAACGAGCGAGACTTGCTTGGTAATGGCA